AAAATACGAAATACCAGTAGATGCCTTATACAACTCATCTCGTGATCAATTTCATTTTTTGATAAGTATAGGTATCACACACAACGAAACTTAGACACGATGAGAAAATAAGAGTGAATTCTTCATTGATTGTTGAAGCTATAATGAAGCACACGCTAATACAACTGCTCACGTCTAATAATTCGTTTGCTGTAGCGCAATGTGTAATAAACGCGGTGATAGCGTGCGCATTAAAGCAAGCCCGCCAAACAAAGCCGATTACATTTTGTTGATTTTTATAAACCCTTTGTACTTCCAAAAAAAGGATCACCACGCGTTTGGGATTTATTTCATACGTTATTGGCGGTCAACGAACAGAGTGAAGCTTGGTTTCTTCGCAGTTAACAACCTCGCAACAGCTAACGTCCTTATACGACAGTATCCATGGACAACAGGACCACTAAAGGGCCACTTATAGTATCGTCATTCTGAATTATCATACACAATTACTAGATATACGCACTAAAGAAAAGTTCTGTGAAAAATACTCAAAATTTACTTTGTTAACGTTAAACAAACTGAAATAGAGAAATAGATAAAATGGGTCCCTGTACATGTTTTAGGTTTAGACATCTGTTGATTTGATTTGACAGAATATTTTCTAACAAATCAGCTAAAACATTTTCAACACAATAATGTTTCTAAGAAACTGATAATCTTTACATATTTATTCACTCATTGATAAATATATATTAAAGACAGATATATCGGATGTACCATTTTTTCAACATAGACAATTATTGTTGCAATCAAACTCAACATACTAATGATGGACGCAAGCTAGTCCATGCATATACGTAACAGCCAGAAAGTATAACACTGCGTCAACCCTTTAGCAAGCCGAAAAGTTGTTGAATGTCGATGTCAATGAACGTTCTTTTTCAAACAGATATAATATCAATATGAATGATTATCATACGTGTTTGAGAAAAGTGAGCAAGGTTTAAATCTCAAAGCCTGTCATCAGATGTATGCTAACTGCGTCAGTGGTATTTAAGCAGTCGTTTAAACATTGTTTAGCATGCGTCATACATACCCTGTGTATAGATAGGATGTTTCATGGGTATCATAGCAGGATGAATACATGTTTATTTGTATGACCCCCTTTCTCGGTGAGACTCTTGTGACAAATTATACGGAAGTCAATGTATATTGACATATAAAGCTTGCTGATGATCACAAACCTTAATACCATGTAATCGAGAAGATGTTACTGATGTCATTAAAAGGAAATCTATTATCGCTTTCGTCAATGTGTTAATAAAAATATTGATACATATATACATAGTTCGCAAAATGTGTCAGTGACCTTTGGACTTTAAAAATATTTCATGATTGTATCTCAAAATACGAGAAACTTTCTGGAGAAAATATTTTGTATGTTTCCATAATATAAGCAAATAGGAGTTCTAATGTATTATATAAAGTTGGTAATATTCGCAGTTATTTAATATTGCTAAATTATCGGTCTTCAAACATAGCGCGAAATATAATACCCAGCAAATAATATTACCACGTAAAATCATCTCCATGAATGTAAAAACTGTTTACATGTTAACTGCCGCCGAACAATGAAAATAATAATAAAAAGATATTTTAATATATCATTTCACTTTTTTTTTTATTAAAACACTTAAAAAAAAGGTTGCTAAAAATGTAGTCCCCGCGAACTAGTTGTGATAGGTTGAACCACGAAATATTAGCCCCGCTATATTAAACAATGATATAGTGTTCCTCACTTGGGGGTTACTACGGACTATTGTATTGACCTTAACAACTGCTGTCGATTATTTGCAATGGCAATCCACGAAACATATTAAGATGACGTCATAAAGGATATAAACAGCAGTTTGTTTAATCATCCCTGCAATGTAGTATGTGTACACATTCGTGCATGAGCATAGTTATAAGGACGTACCTTGTATCACCTTATAAGGGTTGTGAAGCTGAAGTTTAATACAACTTTTACAGAGTACCACGCCGCCTGCATACATATATAAATATTTAGTTAATCACAAATTCTATCGGAAAACCATCAAAGGATTTCAAAATGGTGGAATGGCACACTCTGGGGCTTTAACATTTTATTACTGGTAAATATGTAACGGAAAAATGCACGGCAAGACCGGAGTTAGAACCCGGAACCCTTCTGATTCTGGACGGACGCTCTACTAATTCAGCTACCGTGTCGCCGTCGATCGACCGAGTCCAGTTCCGTTACATTCCTCCCTCCTCTTTCTCAGTTCCCCGATATTACGCTATTTCCCCTAATGGGCCCCACCCATCTTCCCCTAGAAGGGGGCTATTTACAACCCAGGTTTGAGTATCCCTCACCACTGGTTTGCGGGTTCGAGGCCAACGTGGGGCAGTCGCCATGTACCAGCTGCACTTCGATGGTTTGTCTGAGGGTATTTTGGTTTTCCTCTACCACAAAACCTGACTCGTCCTTAAATGAGCATAGCTATTAAAAGGACGTAAGCACAAACACATCAAAAGTAAAATTAAAGAAAAGTCAAAGTTCCTCTTCAAACCTCTGGAACATTTCCAAATATTGTCGTTTCATACACTCTCAGAACAATACATCCAAATCAATATTGAAGATATCATGTCAGGTCAATAAAATTCGAAAAATATTTAAACGCAATTTTAAATGATTAAATCGCCATCATTTCAGCTATCTTGCGCAAGTACATCTAGACTTTTGAAAACAAGATAGGTATACAACGAGGTTTCGGTTTTGGCACTTTGCCACATTAATGTTTAATAACATATCTTGTGCACCGAGGAAGTTTTCCGAATTGTACATTATTCTTCTAAAAGAAAACTTTCTTTAGAAAAGTTTTACTACCATATTCACTCTGTCTATATTTAGCGTAATAATGTCCTCGAATCGCCGCAAGTTTTGTCGTTCTTTGTCATAAATTGTTTAACAATAATGTATTTGTAAACTAGAATTTAAAATGTCAAGCATGTTTAGGAAATAAGTACCAATTAGAAGGAAATCATGTATGATATGATTAATCGAAATTGATGAGGCCGTGTAAGATGATCGTATGAAGTATGTTTAATTGAATAAATATGCATGCGTCTATCCAATGATTAGTAAAAATGATTAGTAAAAATGAATGATGAAGCATTTTGCAATTCACAATGTTATTTTAAGGACGGGAAACATTGGAACATATTTCAAATTTAAGGATTTTAGAGAGAAAACACAGTTATTAAAATTAATCCGTTAACCTTCCTATGTTTGCAACAACAACCGTTAGGAAACATCACTCTACAGTCTGGGTCACACTGTAGAGTGATGTTTACTAACGGTTGTTGTGTGATTTATCGTGTTGGGAACGAACTCCCTGCTGTAACATCTTATGACATATCGTCTTTCACATAGCAAAACTATGAGGTTTTGTTATGGACAAAATATCTATTTTTTATCTCCAGCAGACACAATCTGACGATATGAAAGAGGTATTATTGGACTAAGCCAGTTTGCAAGTTTCTGACACAAGCCATTTGAATTAAGTAAGAGTACCCGTATATTGATCTAATGAACATTTCATCTATGTGGTAATTTTGGTTATGTATTAAAAATAACTATTTTTAAATCATGGATGGTTGACAGTGCTAATGGTATTTTAACACGAGTATTTTTAAACTGCTATTACACATGCATGAATCTGATAAAGTATCCATAGTTATGTATTGTGACTGACTTGGCTATCTAATGTACATTATAACATCGATATTTACCTGTGTGTTATATCATAGTGTTAGTTATTGATTAATTTATGCGTATAAACATAGTACGACGGCACAAACAAACAAACAACACCCTCCACTACGTCCTAGCACTCAATTTTGACAGTGTGGCGTGAAAAATGGCGGACAAATACAAACACTTAAGTACCCCATGTTAACATGATAGACATACACTGTCAATGTTATCTTGTAATTTAAAATGTTGTTTTTATTCCTGTGTTCCGTAATCGGTAGAACTCAGATAATAATATGACGACAATTTAAATAAAAGAATTAATCACGGCGTCTGTAAACGGTTCCCGTACGTGTGCAGGCTTATTAATTACAAATCAGTTAAGAAGAAATTTAACAAATAAGGAGGTCGAGTAATCTAACAAATGTGTGTTAGATAATGTAAACCAATATATTTCTGATAAGTCGAGTAACCCGGTCTTGTATCGCATATACAAAAAAAAACGTATTTATTAGTAAGTATGTAATAAAACCCCTTAATAAACCAAAACAACTTGTCCGACGACGTGTGAACGGTGTGTTATGAAGACCTTCAGCAGAAGTTGTTAAACATGTTACACTCCTGGTGTAACAGAGAAATGTCTTCTGTCGAAACAGAAATATATCTCTCGAAATATAACTTATGTATATGATACACGTTGTATTTAATCATATATCAATAGATTGTACAAAAACAAAATAAAAAGGGTTCTTAGTACCTCCCTAGAGCATTTACCACTTTAGAGGTTCTAAAGAGGTGGAGGCGCTAGGGAGGTACTAAGAAACTTTTGTAATTTGTTTTTTTTTATATTTAATCATGACAAGGATTTTAAACGTTTTTCAATATATTGTTATATATTTTACTTTATATTTATGAATGTGATATAGTTGAAATACAGTCTATCAATGGAGTCATTGCAAGGCAAAGTCCTCTTCACAGGTGATACAGAAAGGTATAATACTGCGAAAACATTAAACTCACGTAAAAGATATGATTCACAGAAAACCATTTTCATCGTACTTATTTATATACAAGGTATTATGAGCGAGATCAACAGAAGTCGATGAAAGGGGACATTTAACGCACCGGTGGGTTTGATAAATAAAAGGGTTATTCGAAATAAGATAGCACCGTATGTATATGTATGATGATTTGAAGGGATCATTTGTTAAGGTGTAACACGCCAGCTACCAAGTGAGCAGTTTACTCGCAGTCGTTACCAGTGATAGCAGGGTATTAGGAGTGCGATAGTTTATATATATATATATGTATTAAATAGCCTTGATATGCCACACAGGTGTACTACATACCTGTCAGTCACTGCTCTGGATCTTGCGGACGAAATATAGACGTTTGTTTAAAGAGAATTCTAGAAATTGTGGATTTTTATTCGTTTTATAATACTACCTGCGCATCAGTTCATAAGCGTACAATTTGTTTAACGTCTGAAGAAAAAACAACAACTTTTATTTGTGATAGATCTGGTTTAGGCGGTTATAGATTTAAAAGAAAAGGACTATGTGGACACAATGTTGAACATTGTGAAATTAAACACCATTGACTGATAATAATACACATTACTTGATAACTTCATGAGACGAAATACTGGTTTTTATCATGGACTAGTGAGCACCAGTGTTTACCTATTTCCTTGTTATATTACGCGAGGATGTCGTCGTAATACGTGTTATAAGACTACTGTGTGTCGCTAGATGGCCGCAGCCTCTGTAGCAATGGGTGAAGGAACAACTGTAGGATCAGGGGGTGACGTGAAACCGCTCCCCTCAATAGTTATCACAAGGTAGGTGAACCATTAATGCTGCCGTAATGCTTTTTGAATAATTCACGTTGATATGACAACCCTTAAACAAACTGTGTTTGCAATAATATGATATATTTTATACGATTTTCATATAAGAGAACAAAACCAATCTTGAGAGACAGGTGTTATATAGAGACAGGTGTAATATAGAGACAGACGGTAACTATAGATAGAGACATTGTAGAGGTGTTTTTTTAAAGGAAGATATATGTGGATGTACTTTACAAATAGTGTCTAAAGAATGCTTCATTTCATAAAGTGCAGTAAATATATTAATTTGTACATACAAGCCGCACTTGAGATAATTTAAAGATGAATTAAACATATTTACAGAACTAGAGACAGGATACGTTGGACGCCTACAATAAGAAATAAAAGAGAAAGAAAAAATATAGAATCAGCTCGGATACCATAGTAATAAATCGTTTAAAAATAATGCGATTTCAAAATGCCCAAGGCTCAAGTTATCGCATTAATAATTTTGTCACTGGTCGCCAGATTAACAGTGCAAATATACAGGCTTCTATGATTACGTTGAGGAAATATTGTTGTCGTCTGAACTGAACGACCGATCTTTTGCATGTGTTGTCATATTCAGTACCAGTTAGTTGCTTATCAACATTTGTAGATCGGAGATCGAGAAAACAATACATACCTGCTGTTATATGATCGTGAGAGGAGACTAGCAGAATTGGTGATTTGCGTTTATGCCTGAAAGTGATGACCAACTTTAATCTGCTGCAACCAATTTCAATATATGGGACATTTATATTTCTCACTGCTTCTAACCGCCTTTTGTGTGATCCTAAAATCATTTTGTTTTCCCTTTCTGGAGCGGCTAGTTGCGCTCCATGTAAAACGTAGGGGAAGTGGATAGTTCATTACGTGTTTTGTTTGCATTACATATCTGCCCGGGAATGTTGATTTTTTTAACAACGATTTCGAGTGAAGTCTAACATTTCTCCTTGTTTGGCGGCGCCAAAGGTTTGGTATAGTTTGTAGGGTTTAGCGTCATATTAACAGCTAAAGCAGTCTAATGACGTTCCCCCCACATGTTCAATGTATTCGAGTGTGCGGCGGTATGTTGGTGTATTTCCCTCCCGGAGATAGCGCGGATCCAATGCTGTCTTAGGAGTGCTACTTCACTGAAATACCATGCTGAAGGCAACAAGCACAGTATTCTACCTGATCACCGTATAATTATGGACGTTAAAGTATAGTTTTACCAAAAAGTAATTTGAAAGTTAATTTGTTTAACGCTCTTTAATGATAACACATGCGTGCGTAAACAGAGTTGATTCCCCTTGCTACACCTTGCCGTTAAATATTTTCGTCCGGAAGTAGACTGCTAATTTATCTCCTGCAATTTCGGGAAAGAATAGGCCTGCTGTATTCAATTACAGCGCATGTTAAAGTAAGAGATGATGTGACTCTCAGCACAATCGGTTGTTTCTGTGTCTTCTTCTTAGGGGACGTTTATGGGCAGCACTTGAGATCAATGCTTTTTCTATTCTTTCTTTTCTATTCTTTATCTTTGTTTGTGTCGTACTATGCACCCGCATTCATATGACCTTTGCTATTGCGAAGACGTTTACTCCGGAGAAGCAAACTATACCTGTTGTATCCCACTTTATGTTTGTTTGTGTCGAAGTATTTTGGGTGCTACGTTTTCATCTTAATTGAATAATTTTTACACCTAGGTAGAATAATACGAGTTAAAAAATATGCCCTTCGTAAGTCCAAATGGTGTTTATCTCTACACTGTCTCCATTTGGAGCCAAAACCTGGTTTATCAGTCTAACACTCTTCCGAATGAGCCAAAGCGAAACTTTCCTATGTCGAATCAGTAGGAACGGCTTGTACTCACCCCTATTAAACCGAGAGCGTAAACTACTGAACACTTAGCGTTTTCCACTTCATTAGTGGCAACTATAGCCATTTTTCCTGTCAACAATGGCCAACGCTCTTCCCGTCCTCATATGACCCTGGCTGTTGCGAGGACGTTTAACCTTAAAAAAACGAAATAACGATATTTGGACAAAGTGAACATGTTTTCAATCATTTTTCATGACTTCCAAATAAGGTGTTTTTGATAAATGTACATATTTTGAACACAATTCCTATTAATCTGTGCGCTATGTTATGAATGTGTAGCTAATAACGTTGGCGTTTATTCCATCCGTACCTCATCCTTAATTTGTCAGTTTTTAAACGCCACACTGGCGACGCTTTTGAAGTATGGGATTAAGCATACAATTATAGGAAAGGATAACAACACATCAGTATTTAGGAAGAAAATGACACGGCGAGCTTTTTATGAATACATTGTATTTTAAACTAATTGACAAGTCCAAGGCCTCACACAAATTGATTTTGTGATTTGTTGATAGTATGATTAATTATAAAAAAATGGTATGCCATTTTTATCTGACAAGGGGGGCCTAATATGAAACGTAACATTTTGAATGCGATTTTAATACATTCCATTTCACAAACGTTTAATTATATCCTAGTTTGACTATGTTTATGAAAAGCAAGAAATACATATATATTTAAATGTGTTTTATGTTTCTAATTGCTTGCACAAAGGAGTGTACCACTAATTGAATGTCATTTTAAAGGAATTATGCGTCATTTAGAAAATATAAATCGTTAAGAAAGTGTTTCCCCGCGCAGTTTCTTTTATAGGAAAATTGTATTTACTTCACGTCAATATAGATTAATTCATATAGTTCCATTGCCCAAATTCAGTTGTGATATGTAGTTAATTGACTTCGCCTGAATTAGAACTTTTTTTTTCAATTGATCTGACACTAATTATCATCATCATAAATGTCCTACTTTCTTACTTTAGGGTGGACTATATTGTGCCTGAGAATCCTTTTATCAATAACTTGTATTCGATCTAAATGTAAATAACTTTACTGCTACAAAGGTTTAACGATCAGGCCTTGCAAACATATGTTAATTGAACTCAGCTTCTTCATAGAGATGTTATGTTTAATCTAGTCAATCAGAATATGAATTCCATTTGATACATTTAATGATGTGTGCAATTTGTTATCAAAATATTAACGTTAATAACACATTTACATGTATATGCTTATGCATTACTATTTGTCGTTAAACTAACAATGCTCCTTATCATACACTTAAATAACCTGTCCTATATGAGATTGCTTTCCGGTTTTGTTAGCTTAGCAGCAGAAAAACAAATATAAAAGATACCTAAAGTGTCAACACACAAGGCAGAAGTTGAAATCCAAAGTGTTTACAAAAGGCAAAGTGAAGATCCTCCCTTTGTTCACAGTCGGCCTAGATGAATCAGTTGTCAATTCGAAAAAGAATAAAACGTCGTTATTCTGCCAGATATTGTCTAGAAAAAATGGCGTTATAAAGAAGTGTGACGATGAACTAGATGAGCTAGTAAGAGATCCACTTTTCCTCTCCAATTTGACTACATCACAGAAATAACATGTGTTGCAAGAAACGCTTACATTGTAAGATTTCCGTATTTGTCTTTGTTTATATAATTATATGTTTCCATGTTACTAAAGCATGTCACGTGATTACATATACAACAACTTCGATCTTAAAAGTGTGTACAAATTAGAAATTAAAATACATGTACCAACTTTGCTTTTAGAATAAAAAGGTTATATGAATAGTTGTTGTTTATAGCGAATCGGTCATAGTATTTCATTTGTTATTCACTATACCAATCGGCCAAGCTAGATTTTCATTAAATTTCTAATGAATATTTTCTGATTTTAAATGCAGTGAAATCGTTAGACTTGTCTATGGGGTTTTTTTAAGGTCACCGAGATAAAGTTAATGTAAACAAATGACGAGAAAATATTTTCGAGAAAATATTTTCGAGAAAGTAAATAAGATTTCATTATGCATGTAATAGCCTTTCTATAATAATAATTTATTTAGGTCACCTTCTGTGTGAATAATTGGATTCGAATTCAAATTATATCGATCATAAGTAATAAAAGCTATCATGACCTTCGTCACGAACCTAATCATTTCTGACATAACCATAGCAAATAATTAATTAATCATTTTCTTCTTTAAATAGTCAGTTTACATTTATCACTTTTGACTATTACAAATCGTGAACGTAAATTGTGATTGATTTTAAGTAATACTGATGTTTGTGAGATCTTACTCTGAGATAAAGACAAAGGTAAACGTGATCACAGCTTGCATGGTAATCAAGCGTATAATTTGCCGAAGAAGAAATTCATTGGAATCAAAACAAAATCAGATAACAAACATGCACAGCTTATGGTATCAGCCTTGGTTTTGCACAATGGTATTTTGAAATTTATTGGAGATAATACCAATGTCCTCATTGTTAAAAATACGGTTTTAGTTTTGAAGGATTACTTATTCTTCCCTACAGTAATCCACTGCGCGTTCATAAGAGGCCACTATTGTCGGTCATACGAACGCATTTTATAGTAATAGGGGATATGGTCCCCCAGCAAAGTCGGTCGTTTTCGTCTATTTGACAACGAGGAAGCCTAAATTGATCTACTACGCCCATTGGAACACTTGTTATTTATACATGCTCTTTTTTTTTACTTCGCTACTCCTTCTTTTTGCCATGGTTCCCTAGGCAACCTTTTCAAACATAAACACTAACTTGACCTGTTGTATTACGCTCAGTGTATATTTGAGGCAAAGTATTTCAGGTCAACTGGATAATTTAGGGTATCTAGTCTACGTTTTATTCTTCATGTCAATATTTTTGCATTCAGGTAGGAAAATACGAGTAAAGAATTAGTCCTATTTTAAATCCAAACGTAACGGTACATGTAGTTATTATCTCTCGAATGTCTCCGCTAGGGCTCGAACTCTGGACCTCTTGTTTACCAGCCTTATGCTCTACCGAATTAGCTAAAAGATAATGTATCCCAAACCAAGTCGGTAGGAGGCAGCTAGTATTTACCAGAGAAGACAGTCTTTAC